TTTTTGTCATAGGGTGCTGAAAGATAGGTACTGGCCTCTCCTCCATTGCTGTTTGTCCAATATGTCGTAATACAGCCGCATTTCACCCCTTGAACCTCAAACAATCATATATAATCCCTTCTAACCTAACCGAACCATAACAACAACTGTAAACACCACACACCATAATCACCCAATACAATCAACAAGATCCCAATAGACGCCAAACACCATACCCCCCCCCATCCCTACCCAACCACCCCCCCACCCCTGGGGCCCCCTGCACCGCCTCTCCCTCCAGCTGCCAGGTCCACACCCTCCCCAACCACACCCCCCACGGGCACCCCCAACACTGCCCCCCCCATCGCCCCCACTCTTGCCATGTGCCACCCTCACCATCCTCCTCCACCCACCACTGGTGGGTTCCCTAAACCGCCCCATAAGGGTGCTGGCAGAATTACAGGCTACCCAACTCTGCATCATGCCAATCCTCGTAATCTTCACATGGGCCACCATAACACCTCCGCATTCTCTGCCAGGCTCCCGTAATCTGTCATGGGTCCCTGTACGGCCTCCTATTGCTGCTGTCTCTATCGCACACAATCATGCATATCAGATGTTAGCGCCATGTGCCACTTTCAGTGTCTCCCTCACACTGCTGGTTGGGTCTCCATTTTTTGAACTTTGGTGTTGGGGCGGCGTGTGCTGCTTGATGTACGGCGGCCACCTCCCGACTGTGGTGTGCCACGGCCGTAATCTGCCATACGTCGGTCCCCTTGTACCGCTTCCTCATGTTGGATTAGATCTGGTTTGATGTTGTCCAGAGTACCGCCTCCTCAAGCTGTCTGCCAGAGTCCAGAGTCTCTCATGGGGCCTCTGTATTGCCTCCCATATGTGCTGTCTATCTCCATCGGCCACACTCTGCCATGTGCCACTTTCAGGTCTTCGCTCACACTGCTGTGGCCAATTTCCATTTCTTGTCATAGGGTGCTGGCAGATTAGCGTGGCCTCCCATTGCTGCTGCCAGGCCCCGTAATCTGCGCATGGGCCCCATTGGTACCGACTCCTCATGCTGTACCATGCCAGGTCCCGTTCTGTCGCATTCCTGTACCGCCTTTTCATTGTTGCTGCTGCCGATCGGGTCCAGAGAGTTTCTCATGGTGGGCCCTGTCAGGTCTCCCTCCCACATTTTGCTGTGTCTCCATATCGCACCAGGGTGCCTGTGCACTTTACGGGCCTCACCATTGCTGCTGCAGGCCCGTTAATCTGCCATGGGCCCCTGTACCATTTTTTGCCTCCTCATGCTGCTGCCAGGTCCTGGAGTGTCTCATGGGTCCCTGTACGCCCCCCTCCCATTGCTGCTGTCTCCATCACCACAATCTGCCATGTGCCACTTTCAGGTCTCCTCATTGGCTGCTGCCTGTTCCACGTGTTCTCATAGGGGTCCCTGTACGGCCTCCCATTGCTGCTGTGCCATGGCACTCTCTAATCTGCCATGTGCCCCGTTCAGGTCTCCTCACACTGCTGGTGCCCAGGTCCATTGTTTTGTCATGGGTGCTGGCAGATTACGGGCCTCCCATGCTGCTGCCAGGCCCGTAATCTGCCATGGGCCCCTGTACCGCCTCCTCATGCTGCTGCCAGGTCCGAGTGTGTCTCATGGGTCCCTGTACGGCCTCCCATTGCTGCTGTCTCCATCGCCACACTCTGCCATGTGCCACTTTCAGGTCTCCTCACACACACTGCTGGTGGTTCATTTTGTCATAGGGTGCTGGCAGATTACGGGCCTCCCATTGCTGCTGCCAGGCCCGTAATCTGCCATGGGCCCCGTACCGCCTCCTCATGCGGCTGCTGCCAGGTCCAGAGTGTGTCATTGGGTGCCCCCAGATTACGGCCTCCCATTGCTGCTGCCCAGGCCATCGCCACACTCTGTCATGTGCCCTTTCAGGTCTCCTCACACTGCTGTGTGTTCATTTTGTCATAGGGTCTGGCAAGATTACGGGCCTCCCATTGCTGCTGACCCAGGCCCGTAATCTGCCATGGGCCCCGTACCGCCTCCTCATGCTGCTGCCAGGTCCAGTAATCTCCTCATGGGTCCCTGTACGGGCCTCCATTCACTGCTGCCTGTGCCACGTCTCCTCAGACATGCTGGTGCATGATTATGGGCACTCCCCAGTAGGCCCGTCAACCGCCTCCTCATAGCTGCTGCCAGGTCCAGAGTGTCTCATGGGTCGCCCTGTAAACGCCTCCCATTGCTGCTGTCTCCATCGCGCCACAGTCTCTGCCATGTGCCACTTTCAGGTCTCCTCACACTGCTGGTGTGTTCCATTTTGTCATAGGGTGCCTGGCAGATTACGGGCCTCCCATTGCTGCTGCCAGGCCCGTAAATCTGCCATGGGCCCCCGTACCCGCCTCCTCATGCTGCTGCCAGGTCCCAGTGTCTGTCAGGGGGCCCCTGTACGGCCTCCCTTTGCTGCTCTCTCCCCTCATCGCCACACTCTGCCATGTGCCACTTTCAGGTCTCCTCACCATGCTGGTTGTTAAATTTTTTGACATAGGGTGCTGGGGCAGATTACGGGGCCTCTCCATTGCTGCTGCCAGGCCCCTAATCTGCCATGGGCTCCCCTACCGTACGCCTCCTATGCTGCTGCCACCGGGTCCAGAGTCTGTCATTGGTCCCTGTAGGCCTCCATTGCTGCTGTCTCCATCGCCACAACTCTGCCATGTGCCACTTTCAGGTCTCCTCACACTGCTGGTGTGTTCCATTTTGTCATAGGGGCTGGCAGATTTCGTGGCCTCCCATTGCTGCTGCCAGGCCCATAATCGGCTGCCATGGGCCCCCGTACCGCCTCCTCATGCTGCTGCCAGGTCCACAGACGTGTCCTCATGGGGCCCCTGTACGGCCTCCCTTTGCTGCCTGTCGCCATCGCCACACTCTGCCATGTGCACACTACTTTCTGGGTCTTCCTCCAGACGGCTGGTGTGTCTTCCATTTTGTCATAGGGTGCTGGCAGATTACCGGGCCTCCTTCATTGCTGCTGCCAGGCCCGTAATCTGTTTCCATGGGCCCCCTGGTACCCGCCTCCTCATGCTGCTGCCAGCGTCCACAGTGTCTCATGGGTCCCTGTACGGCCTCCCATTGCTGCTGTCTCCTATCGCCACACTCATTGCCATGTGCCACTTTCAGGTCTCCTCACACTGCTGGTGTTGTTCCATTTTGTCATAGGGTGCTGGCAATGATTACGGGCCTCCCATTGCTGCTGCAGGCCCGTAATACTGCCATGGGCCCCCGTACACAGAACTCCTCATGCTGCTGCCAGGTCCAGAGTGTCTCAGGGGGCCCCTGTACGGTACTCCAAATTGCTGCTGTCGCCATCGCCTCACACTATGCCATTGCCACTGTTAGGTCTCCTCACACTGCTGGTGTTGTTCATTGTGTCATAGGGTGCTGGCAGATTACGGGCCTCATTTGCTGCTGCCAGGCCCGTAATCTGCCTTGGGCCCCTGTACCGCCTCCTCATGCAGCTGCCAAGTCCGAGTGTGTCATGGGTCCCTGTACGGCCTCCCATTGCTGAGCTGTCTCCATCCCACACTCTGCCATGTGCCCACTTTCAGGTTCTCAAACACACTGTGTAGTAGTGTTCCATTTTTTGGGACATAGGGTGCTGGCACAGCAGATTAGGGCCTCCCATGCTGCTCCAGGCCCGTAAATCTCCCCCCGGGGGGCCCCCCGTAACCGCCCTCCCCATGCGTGAGGGTTGAAAACAAGGGGAAATTTCAACCCTACATATTTTTTAGACCCCTTTACAAAACACCGCAAAAGGCCATCCCCGGTTTTAAAAAGCGGATAAAGGTACGCCCCTGTGAAAACTTAGATGTCACCCTTTTGGCAGTCTTTCCCGTGACACCTCCCCGCTTGCTCAGGCCCTTTGAGGGGGCCATTTTTTCGGGGGTTTCGGCAGGACAAATGGGAAACGACTTTCATTCCCTGTTGCACTCCTGGCCCAAATGCTGTTAACAATGGCTGGTAAAGGTGCGGTAGACGTGGCCCCCAAGACCCAAAAACGCCAAAAACCGACCCCTGTGGGGGCCCAGGACAGGAAAAAGAGGAGGGGGTGAGGGGGAAAATTGGGCTCGGGAAATTTTGATGAAATGGGGGGTTTTTTTCCCCTCAGGGGACAGGAGTGGGGGAAAACCCCCCGGGGGGCATCGGGTTTGGGGAGGGAGGAGGAGACAAGGACCCAATGAAACCGGGGGCAGTAGGGTGTGGAAAATGGAGGGGGGGATTCCCCGCTTTCCCTTGGCCCCAAATGGCCCTTTAAAATGCTCGGTTGCTTGTTTTCGAAAACCCAAATTTAATTTAACCATAAGACAGAGGGATGTTTTTTGGCTGTCCACCTTGTTGGAACCCCCGCTAAAAGTTCAAAAATGGTGGCCTTTTTTACACCCCTTTAGGGGGGAGGGCCCAAAAAAAAGTTTCCATAAAAACCACCTAATTTTAGTCCCTTGGGCTCTGCCCTTTTTTGCGCCAAAAGTCCATCCTCAGGGCAAATGTGGGGGCCCCGTGGGGCTGCGTTCCGCTGCCAAAGGGCAGCAGGGGAGGGGGGGGTGGTAGGGGCAGTGGCAGCTCCAAAAGCGAGGCCTTTTCTCAGGGCTGCAGTCGATGATGAGTACTTTCTTTACCAGGGGCAGTGAGGAAACTAAAAACCAGCCGCAGCAGCAGCAGCATCAGGTGGACCTGGGGGGGGAGGACCTCAAAAAAACATGCTTGGGCCCCCTTGGGCAGCACCCCCGCCAAAGGGGGGGACAATCCCCCTTGAATATTGGGCAAAAGAAAAAAATTTACCTTTGGGGGGGGGGCCCCAACCTAGCTGAATTTGCCCTTGAAAAAAGGGTGTCTTGGGGCCCCCCCAAATAGCGTGGCATTGGGGGGCGTGTTTAGTGCGGCAGGAGGTTTTTGTAACTCCGGAGGACAAAGAACTGTCCCACCCAAAGTGGGGAGACTCAACGTTTTTTTGAAAATGAAACAGGCGTGGGTTAGTTGGATTTTAACCACCAGTTTCCCGACCCCAACTGACTAAATCTCCCTGAAATTTAAGGGCCCCCAAAAATGTGCCCCCCTTTTAGGGTTTCCCCACATGCTGGTGGGTTCCATTTTGTCAAAAGGGGGCTGGAGATTAAAGGGCCTCCCCTTGCTGCTGGGCCCGGGCCCCTTTAAACTGCCTTGGGGGCCCCCGTACCCCTCCTATGCTGCTGCCAAACCCGTAATCTGTCATGGGTCCCCGTACCCGGGCCCCCCCATTGTGCTGTCTCCATCGCCACACCTGCCATGTGCCACTTTAAGGGGTTTCCCCCACACTCTGGTGTGTTCCCTTTTGTCCCTTGGGTTCTAGCAGATTTTTGGGGCCTTTTCCCTTGCTGCTTTTCCCCCGGCCGGGAATCTGCCATGGGCCCCCGTAACCCCCCTCCCATGCTGTGCCCCGGGCCAGAGTGTTCAAAGGGTCCCTTTTAAAGGCCCCCCCATTGCTGCTGTTTTTCCATCGCCACACCCTGCCCTGGGGCCCCTTTCAGGTCTCCTCA